GTATGCATACATACATACATACATATATATATATATATATGAACTATATTATGTAATTTCGTGATTTTGTTACATATAGAAGTTTTCATATCATAAAACAAAGAACAATGGTTTTTATAGCAAATAAATACTAGAAGTTTTCTGCACCCTTTTGTCACTTCTCTCTCCTCTTCTTTATCTATGTGATCGGTTGTTCATCATGGCTAATTCTTCCACGAATTGAACAGGAATTGATCACTTGTCCTTTAAGTTTCTTCACCTTATATTATTTATGTACATATATGATACACAATGGGTTCATGAGTAGATTTGTGATATGGCAAACTATGTGTCATTTGTTTTTCTAATTTTTTTTCCATGCCAATTATTTGTCAATTATGAGCATTATTGATAACTAAATTACATACAACGATTATATATATATACAAAGCAAGTGTCATGAAATGTTACATTACAGGTGACGTTTATTTGGTCGTATGTTTTTGTCAGGCAAATAAGAACAAACGAAGTTATAGGATAATTTGGAGTTGGAGGAGAGACTGAAGTAGAGAATTAAACAATTGTCGTCGCAAATAAGTGAATATTTACAGCGACATGTCGTTGCTAATATTTTCGTAAATCTGAAAAAATAATGTCGTCGCTAAAAACTCATATGTCGTCGCAAATAAATGCTTGGCGCCAAATCTTGTCTGGTGCGAACATTTAGCGTGAGTGCTATATATATGATCAACAACATGAATAGATTTTTATTTTTAGCTACTAAAAATACATGTTTATTCCAAAAATAAAGAGCTAGTTATGCATATATTTAGGGATTAAATTTACTAAGTACTATTTTAACGTTCGGTGTGTGTCTGTTTTGGATAAGAAATGTACAACGAAATCTTCAGTGTTGTTAGATTCAGATCAATTGACAAATGTATAAGCTCGAAGACTAATTATTTTGATTGTAATTAGTTTGATGTTGTACTTTGAGATATGTTAATTAGCTTATTTTCTTCTTCTTCTTTCTCATTTTCTTCTTAATTCTTCTTCTTGTATTAAGATTTGTCATTTACTTAGGAGACTAATAGAAGAGATCGTACTCCGTGTAAGGGGTTGAGTTCATTTAAATTGGACGACTCTTCTCCATTCATAGAAACTCTTTTTATACAGCACCCTTTCTTTTCAATAATAATCTCAAAAAAAAAAAACCCTCATATATATAACGTCGATAAGAAATAAATTAATTATACAAAGAATACAAATAGCCTAACAGACAAAAAATCTAAATGGCCTAGAAAAGGGCTTAATTCGTATCTCTATGTTTCCATCAAGGGATACAACGGCTAATAGACATTAGTTAATTATCAGAACTCCCTTGAGAGAGAGAGAGAGAGAGGAGAGAGAGAAGAAAGTAAGAAAGACATTAAGGGTGCGTTTAGAACTCGTTTCAAAATAATTTTATTTTTTGTATGAAAATGAAAATAAAAACGTTTTCAATCTTAGACAGAAATTATTTTTGAAAATGCGTTTGGTAGTTTTATCAAGAGATTATTTTCAATGTAAAAAACCCAATAATGTCTATTTCTCTCTCTGTGCTCAAGAGAGGAGAAAATGAAAACAAAAAATGAAAAACGACTAAAAGTCATTTTTTATTTCTCTCTCATTTTACACTAAACTACAAAATCATTTTCATTTCTGTTTTTTATTTTTATTACATCAAACGACGTTTTGAAAACGTTTTCATTTTTTTCTTTCTCAAAAAATATAAAAGACAAAAACGGGATCAATTCCAAACACGGCTTAAATTATCATGATCATTCGAGTAGGAAAAAGTAGCATATGTCTGATCTTGTCAAGAAGCTCTACATGTATATTGGTAAAAAATATATACATATATGTATATATAAATATATGTAACGTACAATAACAAGGTATGATGCCAAATTAATGATCTACAAGGACCCGCAGTCATAGGACTATGCTTGAATTACTCCATAAATATATTTAATGAAAAAGAGAATCAATATATTGAGACCTTATAGTTACAGGTTTGGTCTACATATTGATAATTCCGTGTTTATGTTCATTTTAAGTTGTTCAAGTCTTGTGTCCGACTCTTAAATGCTTAGAGAGAGAGAGACCTTTTTCGATAGAGGAAAAATGGAAGGAATAATAGGGGGATAAAAATATTTTTTAGGAGGGGTTAATAGAGTAGATAATAACTTGAACAAAGGATTCAAAATAATCCACATAGAACTCAAATTTTGATTCCTTCAAATTTGGAGGATAAAAGAAAATTCGGTCCTCTTTCTTCTCTTCATTTTTTTTTTTATTTATAACAAAACAAGGCATAAAAGAAAATATATAGGAAAATATTTCATAAAGCTTTCGAAGCAGGCAAGAGCAAGCATAGCACATGAAACATTTAAACTCCATTTGGTAGGAGGAAAAGAAAAGAGAATGGAAAGAAAATATAAAAGAAAGAAAATGTGAAAGAAAGGAATGAAGTTGATTTTTTTTTTTATAGTGTTTGGTATAATGAGAAGAAAGAAAGCATGTAATAGCCTAAATGACTATTTTATCAATTGTTTAATATTAATTTAAATTTTAAAATAGGGACACAAAAGTAAATTTAGCCATCAATGAGTGGATTTGAGTTTTTCTCCTAATATTAGAGAGATAAAAAATGGTGGCCCCACTATAATTTTTTTCCATCATATTTTCCTTTCTTTCCTCTCTTCCTTCTTATCAAACAATCAACTCTATCATTTTTCATCCAATAATTCTTCTACTCACTTCTTTCCTTTCACTTTTCCATCATACCAAACATAGTGTTAAGTAAAATGTCTCCCAACCAAAAAAAAAAAAAGAAAAAAAAAAAACCATTTATAAGTAAAATGTCTGCCAAGGGACAATCATTCATGCATGTGTGCCCATACACGAGAATAAGAAAAGTAGGGTCCATGCATTATTTAGTGCGCATTTTTATATTTATGTATATGAGTCTACATATGCTCCTTATCAGATAAAGCCCTCAAAAAATGATACTTTCTTCGTATATAGGTCAGTTTCATATAACCTCCATCAATCAAATGACGTATTGGTTTCCTATTAATTAGCATATATTTAAATTAAGGGGATATTAAGACAAGATTAAACAAGAATGAAGATTAGTAATATTTTAATGCATACGCGTCCAAACTAATTGAGATTCCTGATGTAGGCAGGTCCAAATGTTCCAAGCATAATACAGCTGCGACATATATATATATATATATATATATATATGTGTGTGTGTGTGTGTGTGTAGTATTTTTTTTTTAGTACCAGCTAATAAACCAAATTAGCATACCACAAAGAAAAAAAAGAATTATAGTTAATAAAAATGTTTTATATAGCTGGGATCTTCGATTGTGGGAATTTCACATTTTTAAACGTTAAATTACATAGTAATTTTACCCAAAAATAAATAAATTGAACTAAATATGATGAAGAGTTGGCAGTTCAGAGCTATACGGATCAATCTTTTTATGTGGCGCTTGGATTTTTTGAAAACAAGGAAAAAAAAATTAACATATGAATATTTAACTAAGGCCATTTGGTTAAGATTTAAATCCGTTAATTTCAATAAGCTTGCCTGTCTACCACACGACACCTATGCATGTTGATGCTATTTAACAATATCTTTCTTCTTGTAATCATCCAATTGGGAACTCATTTAGAAATGCAAATGCTTAATTAATTAAGTAATTAATGCAACTTATAATATTATTCAATAGTTTAATTTATTATAGAGAGTGGTTCCTATTTGAAAGAAACGGACTACAAGAAATATTGGAAGCATAATGGACGTCCTATGATCATTCCTTAATTTCCTTAAGGAGGCAAGTCGAATTATAATTTTGCATCCAATTAGGGAATCAAAAAGTTCTTAAAGGAAATTAGACATTGTGTGTTAATCAAGTGCACTAATACTTTATTTAAACCAAAGCGACAAATATACTCACATCATGAGCTCATAATCTCCCTTTCCAAGTAATTTTATTAATCGTTTTCCTACCAAGTAAAATGACATTATGGCAGAAACATGACATAGTTTACGCAAGTTATAACATATACATCCTCTTTTTAACCGTTGTATTACCTGTTCGCTTCGCGGATTCGATTTTTCAATTTGAACTGAGATGTGACATTTTCTGAGAGCTTTTAACTGTAGTAAAAAAAGTTAGATGTGACATTTTCTGAGAGCTTTTAACTGTAGAAACTTAAAACTAAAAACTCGAATTACACACTTCATAACTTTTTATATTTTCTTTAACCTCTCTAGCTAGTAATAACTCAAATCGGTGCCTCCTATCACAATGAAAACTAGGGCAACCAAATGTATAAGGATGATTTGCAGATTTCTCTACGTAAGGTAATAAATCGTTTAGGCTCTGCAACTAAACACATATTAACCCTTTAGAGATTTTCCAATTTGAATATGATAGAATATCGAAAAATACCCTACGAGTTTATATTATTAGACGACCTCAATATCATAAATTCATAATAGAATATATATTGGATAAATTATAATAAAAAGTTATGCAAATTGAATAGAACTCCACAAAGATCTGATTATAACTGGAATATAATTTTTTTTTTCTACCCCACGTCTCCGTCAAAGAGTTCTCCTTTAATTACTTATAATTATTAATGAATCTGAATATTCTGCAGCAAACTTTGATTAATTTGTGTCTTTTTCTTTTTCTATTTGCGTCTTCAGCCGGCATACAACTAATTTCCAAATTCCAAGTACCATTTGACGCCATAAATAAAACGTCAAAAATTATGAAGCACATTCCAAAGCAATCCTAAGTAAGCGAAAGAAACTCCAAAACAAATTTCACTCTATATAATGCAATCCTTGCTAAACTGGCACAAAATTTCTTCCAAACCATAATTAGTTGAAAGACATCTAGATTGGCGACGCTAAAAACGTCGTCGTTTCCCTAATCTCTCTCTCTCTCTAAATGAATACTAGTGCTTCACAATATTATGGTCTTCCTTATGAGGGTCTTTGGCCAGACGAATCATCGCCAGAATGGATGAATAAAGGAGACAACGCATGGCAACTCACGGCAACAACCATGGTGGGCATGCAGAGTGTCCCCGGCCTTGTCATTCTCTACGGAGGAATGGTCAAGAGGAAATGGGCCGTCAACTCGGCATCCACGGCCCTATATGCTTTTGCTATGGTCCTCCTCTGTTGGGTCCTCTGGGCCCACCACATGTCGTTTGGGCCCATGTTGATCCCGCTTGTCGGAAAGCCTGGGTTCGCCCTAAGCGAGACCTTTCTTCTGCACCAATCCAGACTCGGCCGCGTCCCGATGGCCGACTTTGTCTACTACCAGTTTGTTTTTGCTGCCATTACCGTGATATTGCTTGGAGGTAGGGCTATTCGTAGTTTGGTTTACGGTTTACAGGTCGAATCGTTCATTTGAACTTTGAAATTTTGATTTTTATATTTATATTTAAATAGTGTCAAACCAATTATAGACGTTAAATAAAAATTAAAGATGCTTTTTAGATCTTGTTTAATTCGCTGATTTGAGTTTTTAATTCGAGTTTAGATGTGACTTTATGTGAGAATTTTTTACTGTAGTAAAAAAATAATAAAAAAATTAAATGTAATTATTTCTCAGTGTTTTTTACTATAATAAAACTCAAATTCTAAACTTAAATGGTAAAATAAATAGGGCTTTAATTAACTTTTTCGTGCTATAAAGTCTGACTCCATTAAATGATGTGGTAAAAATTTGGAACACCTAAAATTGAAGAGGATATTCAAATCCCCTTAAAATCCAATTTTAGTGTAAATCCCATGATAAAAACAAAATATGATGGGAAAAAACAAACTGTCATAAAATAAAAGCAAACTGAGACAGCACAACATTCCATCATCAATATTGTACATAATAAAAAATTTATGAATTAAAAAAAAAAGGTTTTGTTTGGTTCAAACATAAACACTGTTGAAATTTGGTTTGTGCAAAAATTACACTGAAATCAAACTAATATCATATAGTGGGAAATTCGATTTGGTTTGGATGTTTGATTAGTTTAGGAGCTTCTCCGAACTCTGTTTATCTGCAGGGTCATTACTTGGGAGGATGAATTTTTATGCTTGGATGCTCTTTGTTCCGCTTTGGCTAACCTTGTCTTACACTGTGGGAGCTTTCAGTGTTTGGGGCAATGGATTTCTTGAGAAGTACATTATTGACTATGCTGGTGGATATGTGATTCATCTCTCTTCTGGGGTTGCTGGCTTCACTGCTGCCTATTGGGTAAGACCACTTTCACATATCATGACATCGAGGGGTGCAGAGAACAAAGTGCGGAGGAACGGACGTATAATTTCAGATTTTTTGAGAAAAAAGTAAATATATGTATAATGAAATTTTAGGAGGAATAAACTATAAATTTTAACATAAATATACACATAAAATTAAAAGAAAAAAAATTCAAGTGGGACAGCCGTCTACGCTCAGATAGCTTAGCAAAATTAAAGTCAATACCAAACATACCCCAAGTAATTTATGTGTGATAAAGCATGATAGCTTAGCATCTTTGATGATAATTTGGTGACAAGTATATTATCTAGAGTTTGTTGTGTGAATGTAACTAGAGTGACTGATAAATAGGATGGTTTGGTGATTTCCATGATGATGATGATGATCACATAGGTGGGCCCTAGGTTGTCAAACGACAGACAACACTTCCCTCCAAACAACATAATTCACATGTTGGGAGGTGCAGGGTTTCTGTGGCTTGGGTGGACTGGCTTCAATGGAGGATCTCCATTTGCAGCAAACATAATAGCATCCTTAGCCATTCTCAACACCCATATCTGTGCTGCCACAAGCCTCTTGGTGTGGGTTTCCATGGACCTAGTGGTCTACAAGAAAAGCTCTGTGATTGGTGCTGTTCAGGGCATGATCACTGGCCTCGTTTGTATCACACCCGGTGCAGGTTTGTCGCTCAAATTATACAACATCTGCACGCTGTTTGTTTTATAGGTTCGAACCATAGTTTAAATTTTTTATTTTAGTTGTTTTCTCTCACACAAATTTCAAATTTCTTTTTAAATTTTTTGTTTAAACTTACGAACCGAACAAGACCGTTTCTCAAAGCATATGAACTTGTGATGGGAAGATTAACAACTAAAATGTGGACAGGGATTGTGGATCCATGGGCAGCAGTACTAATGGGAGCATTATCCGGTTCAATACCGTGGTATACAATGATGGTGTTGCACAAAAAATCAGCCTTCTTCCAAAGTGTGGACGACACGTTGGGGGTGTTTCACACCCATGCTGTGGCGGGCGTGTTGGGAGGGCTCCTCTCTGGCGTCTTGGCTCGTGCCAATCTTCTTAAAATGATGTACTCTGACAGTGTATTTTATGCCATCTCTAGAGGGGGACTCAAAGGTACCCTCAAACAAACGGGCTACCAGTTGATCGGAGCGGCTTTTATAACTGCATGGAACGCTATCATTACGAGCTTGATTTGCATATTCATCAGTAGAATAGTTGACCTGAGGATGAATGAAGAGGACTTGGAGATTGGTGATGATGCTGCGCACGGAGAAGAAGTTTATGCTCTGTGGGGCGACGGCGAGAGAACGCCGTCCACTCAGCGCCGCTGGCATATGCCCCCGAGGATCCCTTCTATATGCCAGCGCCAGTAAGGAAATATGTCTTGTAATGTTGGAGCTTCATCAATTAGGTTTGAAAGCAGTACTGTTGGCTCTTTACTCCGCGGGTGCATGATTGTGCACCTTCAAGCTAAATGGAATATTCTCCAGTCTTTCTGTGCTATCATATCATGAAGGCAATAGGTCATTGTCATGTTTGTAATTTTGTTCATATCAGTTGAACGAATTTATGTTTGAAAGCAAATGTACAAAATGAAAATCCGGCTCTTACGTTCAAAAGCATGCTACCCTTAAAAAACTTTAAAATAGAAAAAATAGATAATTTACCCTTGAGAGTGCAGAAGTCTCTGGACTTTTATCTCTTATCCTTGATAAATAACATTTTGTTAGTGTAATTATTTGACTAAAAATGTTATAAATCAAGAGTAGAGAGTAAAAATCATGACTCATGCACTTCTAAGGGATATTTGTCAAGATTACCCTTAAAAATAATACATAATAGGCATTGTTTGTTTCGCTTGTTCGAATTGAGAATTTAAGTTAAAAAGTGAATGTTTAAGAAAATATTATAGCAAAAAAAGTTAAATTTGAATTCTTATGAGAGAAAACACTGCAATAAAAACTTAAATTATTATTCGAACTAGTGAAATGAACGGAACTATAGCATACTGAATAATGTATATTTTTACATTCCAAGGAAAATAAATTGTGGTGATCACAACTCAATGTTCAGCTTTAACTGATCAAGAACAAGAACTTGATCAACAGAATAAAGTGGAACAAAACCGGAAAAAGAAAAATGTATCATTACCATTGGATGAGATATTTACAGCGACATACTAGATCAGATTTTTAAATAGTATAACTAGAAAGAGGATATTCTGTTTTCTTACGCATCGTGTCTCCTAAGAGCTACAAACTGGGGATGCACACTCTTTTTCTTTTCACCGAGGATATGCATTTCCACATATAGACATAATATAAATTGAGCTGAACAATATGATTTTAAATTTACATATTGTGCAATATATCTTTAGAAGCTGTACATAGCGGAACTCTCTCGTTATGCAGAAATTCTTGAGGGTGTTCCTTCCACAGCAGTATTTACAGTGAAATGATACGCCGAAAGGTTAGCAGTCATACACAGAGGACCAGCAATATGCCAATATATCACAAGTGGATGGGGTCTCCGAACTCGGCTAGTGCCCGTGAATTAATTTGCGAAGTTGCAGTAGTTTGTCTTTCCACATGGCTGCAGGTTCCATCAATAAATAATTTGGATTATCATTTGTTGAAATCTCATGCGTAATGCAATTTAGAATTAACTAATTATAAGTACCAAGTATTTAAAAATGGCATATTTGCATCTTTGTACCCATTAAATTACCTGCATCTTTGTATCTTTCCTCTTTCACAGCTAAGTTAATATTCTTCACTAAATCAAGTTCCTGAGACAAAAGGTCAGGACCATCTGCAGCACTGCAAAAAATGTAACAAGAATTAGAGAAAATGTGTTAGCTAACGGTGGAAAACAAGAGACAACC